GCGGTTATTTCAGACTGACGATCAGTGTGCACACAACTCAGCCTGGAGTATTTTTTTCTTTTCCTTTTTGTTAATAATTCTTTAAGAAACAAACAAATTCCAGTTTCTGTTAACTGTATCGAAATTTCAGAAGATTCAATAACTATTTGTCTGCGCATGGATTCTTGAGTTGCAATGAATCATGCTTCTGTGAAGAGTGATGCATTCCAGCGAAATGCAATTAAAAGACCGAGTCCAATGAGACGACAAGGAAATGATTGTAGCTGTGTGCCAGACAGAAATGTTGCTCAGAAAAGTTGAGAAAGATCTGTTTTCACCGATAAAGCAAGTCAGAACGAAAACTGTTCGTGACAGCTGGTGTTATATCATTCCTCTAACAATATTCATTTGGCTGTGGCAAATAATCACACGGGCGAGCATCTACTGCACTGGGCCATTCTCATAATTTACGTAGGACAATATGAGCTGTTTACTGCAGCTGAACACAATTCGGTATTTACTGCGTGTCCTTCATCACACTGTCTCTGGCTCGTCTCATTGGGTGAGAGCAGTTTCTTTCTGAATCAGGCGAAAGACATTTTTGTGCGTGTCCACATGTGTGAGAAGAAAAAGACAAAATTGGATTGCCCAAACTTGCAAAGCAGCTAATGGTTGCTGTCTTTCTTTAATTTAAGATAGGCTGCGACGTTAAACTGTGCTCAGTTGAAAACAAAGAGCTGAAATACTGATTCTTTGTGTGCTTGCCCATCTGCATGAAAGCAAATGACACAGTACAGATCGTACACACTGGTGCATTATAACCTGTTATTTGAGGCTGATTCCTAGTGAATGTAAAGGCTTGCATTGTTATTCAGCGCGAGGCTGCTTTTTGAAGCATGTGAAAATGTGCTCTCACTTCTAAAGTCTCTCTGAGGGGGTTCAGGTGAGAATTAGCATTTTAGGATTTTCTTTACAAGCTAGGAAGCAGCATTTATATGAATGCACACTCTAAACAGAAGATAACACTGGGAGCAGTGTATTAATATCGGTCTAGCTTTTTTTTTTTAAGAAGACTCATTTGTTAATCGTTTACTCATAAATGACACACTTTCTGATGCATTAAAATAGATTGTTTGCTTTCTTTCTACTTACTTATTAAAACCAATGTTCACAATTCAGGAGGACTTTGACTGGAAAAACACTGTAACTGTTGCGGATTTGTACAAACATTTCCAAGAAAGGAATTCAGAGTACTGCTACTCATTAAAAACATATGTTGACATGTAGCTATTCACCGTTGCTCTTTATGCTCTACATATTTATACCCACCTGTCATGATGATGATGGCATCGCCCAGCTGCTACAGATTTTCTGTTTCCAAGGTGCTCCATTGGATTGAGTTCTGGTGATATTTGTGTTAACAAGCAGTTCAACAGGTTTATCTGTAAGACAATATACACGAATTCCCCAATAATAAAGAGGCATAATGTTTATATGCTGGTGATGAGTGAGTCTGTGTCTGGTCTTGTATCATAGTCCTCATATGTACCATGAAAACCTTGAAATCGTTGAAGCGAGGTCAGCTTGTGATGTGAGGCTTCGGGCAGTATGCTTTTGGTTAAGGTTTTGCTGTTACTTGCATGGCTTGTGTGTGTTTGACTGTGCTTGGGTTTGTGTACTGTGGCTGACCTTTGCTTTACATAACATGATGTAGGTGGAAAAAAAACTTTAATGGGTGGCATCATATGCCTTCTACTGCGGCAAGAAATCCCATTTACTTGTTGTTCCCTGGAGAAGTCAGTCACTCCTCTGTGACTAGTTCCAACCCTGTTATGCAATGGATTGTTAATGCGTGCGTGCGTGTGTGTGTGTGTGTGTGTGTGTGTGTGTGTGTGTGTCTGTTTGTCTCCTGGATATGGAGTCATTATGGCATGTATGGTGCTGTAGCCAGTTAAGCTGTGAGTGAGGGCTATTTTAGACTGTTGACTGACACATGGTGGACACTGCACAGGAAAGATGTTTGATTTCTGAGTCTCACTTTATTAATCTTTAACTCTCTGACCTGACCTTTTCAGACTTATCATACTCAGGAAGGCTATATTTGAAAAGATAGTACCAAGTAGTCCATTGCTTTGAATATCCTGTGTATCTGTGTGCGCGCGCGTGTTTTTCTCAGTGATAATGGACCATCTTGTTAATAATGCAGCAGAGGGATCGCACTGCACCACCTTTTCTCGTGAAAACTCATTTTCCGTTTGCCGTTCTATCTCACTCGCTCCCTCTTTCCTCAGGCCATGTCAGGGCTTTACAAAACCATTTCATTTGTCCACATCGACCCAGTCTGTCAGTGTTTGCACAGCCGATATAAAACCTGGGATTAGAGGGAAAGGTTCAAGTATTAAAGTACCCACTGTATTAGGGGATCCTGCTCGTGGAATGTAAATGTATATTAATTAGTAATTTAGACAAAAATCTCCCCCCCCTCCTAATTTCAGTCATCCTGGAATATCTTATCATTCTAGTCATCAGCAAAGCTTTTTGCTTTGTAGTGTTAAGCATCTATCCTGTGAAGTGTCAGTCCACTCCTGCTGTTGGGGTTCAACTCGTATTCAAATCATATTTAGTGATGCAGTTTGTTGATTGAATGAAACAGTGGCTAAGCTGCTTCTGTTTTTATAGAAGTTCCCACACATTTACTTTATTATTCATTTTTGCATGGTGACGATCCAGGCTGTCTTAACATGTTTATATGTTTTTTTCTTAAGCTAACAAAAAGGGCTATTACACTAAATTGTCTGGCTGCATTTGCAGTTGTGACATCATTAATATAGTAATTGGTTTCTCTTTTGACTTTTCTTTTTTCTTTCTTTCTCCTTTTGGCCTCCAAAGCACACACCTCCACGCACTCCCCCGAGGGTCATTTTTATGAGTTGGCAACACCTTGATAATAAATTGCCATTTAAGCTTTTCTATGAGTTCAGCAGCTACATAAAGGAGCTTCTTCGCCACTCAGTGCTTTCTGGTGAGCGTGATGGATGGTGGATAGATAGATAGATGGATGGATGGATGCCAGGCATTTTGAGTGAGTCAGACATGAGCTGCATCTCATTTTTCTAATTTATCCTCTCGGTTTTTCTCACTTTGCAATTTCCTGCTTGGCCCTCCTACTTAAAACACGACAAAGAGATGCAAAACAGGAACAACTAAAGCAGTCCAATTGTAACAAATGAGACATTTGCCCCCAGTCAAGCAGCAAATGAATTAGCATCAATTACTAATAACAGTTTCCCAGCTTGAGAGTTTGAGCTTTTGTTTACACAAACGAGAGTAGTGACACATTTTATGTATTATTGCTTAAACCTGTACTTTCAGATGAGCAGTTTTCCATCTTAATGTACATTTAATCATGACTCTTCTTCCTCCTACTTCTACTAACTTGAGGATGAGGAGGCTGTCTCTCAATGTTTGGAAATATTTATAGTGAAAACACTGAAATTATTCCCTTTATCATTTATCAACCCATTCTATCTAAAGAGAACCATTTGTACCAACAATCCAAATATACTTGCACCCTTTAATTGGAACACTTGTTCAGTTCCTCTATATTTGACCCCCATTCTGTTGCTTGGATTGAATGTTAGCAGATTGTCTTTACCATGTCTACAAGCCTAAATGCATTAGGTTGCTGCCATGTGGTTGGTGAAGAAAGGTGATTTAAATGACTTGTTGAACTATGGCATGGTTGTCGTGCAAGATGGGTTTGTCTGAGTATTTTAGAAAATGCCGATCTGCTGATGAGTATTGTTGCTGACCATGTCCACCTCTTTCTGACCTCAGTGCTTCCCTATTCTTTGATGGCTGCTTCCAGTAGGAGAACACAGCTGTGTGATGCCATCATGTCAATATGGATCAAAATCTTTGAATGTTTCCAGCACCTCATAAAGTGGCCAGTGAACTAAAAGAAGAAACCAGACACAATCCTACAAAGAGATATTTGCCACATTAGCAGATTGTAACTCTTATTATTTTAATATCCTAATATCTGTGGATTGACTTTACCGCTTAATTTACAGCTTAATGAAGTCAGTCAGTGGTGGATGCAATGACCTGCATTTCCCAATCTACTTAGAATGTGTAATGTGTTGTTAAGGAGGAGGATGTGATGTGTGTCTCTCTCATCGCTGACTAGCACATTTAGACAGCACAAGAGTCCATGGATATGAACTCTTCAACCCATCTCTTCCCACTTGCTTCCCTCTTCTGCAAACAGGCAGCTGCACATTGAAGCAGACTGCGACCAGTGAAGGCAAACTGCGAACTCTCCATGTCTCTTTCCCTCTGCCACGTTTCTCCCCCTCCTATCAGCTCACCCTCCACCTTCAAAATCCTCCTTTAGCCAGTTGCTAAGCAGCACGGGGAGAGCTTGACAGTGTTGACGCTGTGTATGTGCGGGAGCACTTCCTGTAAACAGCCGAGTGGGTGCTCTTTGCTCTCAGCTGTAGAGAGAAGGAGAGAGTGAGACGAGATGGCCTAAAATAACCCTTTCTGACTCTCATAAGAGACACGGAATGACGCGCAGTGAAGGAAAAAAAGTGTAACTTCATACCAAGTGAAAATTTCACAGGGAGCTGTGAAAGCTGTTGAAGATAACTACAGGAGCTTCAGAAGCTTTTTGAACCGTGTTTTCTTTAATGCCAGAAAGCATGAGGCCTGAAATAAAAATGAACAGAACTGACAACGGCCATTTAGGCGGCGAGCTAGTGTCATTGTGCATACAGCAAGCCCGTTTGTGTGTGCACAATCTCGCTGGACACAATTCGTAAAGCATTGAGTCAGAGCAAATCTTGGACGGGGGATTTATTAAGTGAACAGACAAAAAAAAAACAATTCGAAGCTACACAGACTCTTTTTTTCTTATTTATTCTGTCACCAGCAGTATTTGTTTCACTATCTCCCAGGAAACATTGAGCTTAACTAATTGCTTTCTCTCCTCTTCCCTGCTGTGTCTTTTGATGTTTCAGCTCCGTGGCGGTGAAGATGACCACGGCGCGGTACCGTCCCACGTGGGAGCTGGCCGTGGACCCTCTGGTCTCATGTAAGCTGTGCCTTGGAGAGTTCCCTCTGGAGCAGATGACCACCATCACACAGTGCCAATGTGTCTTTTGTACACTGGTAAGTTTTGGGGATTTTTTTTCCCCTTTTCTTGTGGCATTGCTGTGGCCTCAGGTACTACTTTAAGGAACCCTGGAGTCCTTTTTGAACCAGAAAAAGAGATGAAGTTAATACCACAGAAGATATTATTCACTGACACCCAGCTTAATCCAAAATTGAATTTAAACCCTTCTTTCTTCTATATAAAGTCCTGAGCGATAAGATTCTATAATCTTTAACAACTTGTAGCACCTTATGATCCCAATAGAGCATGTACTGCAGGCTTACTTGCAGTTTCTTGAGTTCCCAAAAGTACAATGAGAAGCAGAACATCAGCTATTTGCAAGCATCCTCTCCGTTTTTAAGGCTAGGTTTAAAATGTTCCTTTTTGATAAACCTTACACTTATGATTGGATCTATTGACTCAGAGCTATCACTTATGCTGGGCATACACTGTGCAATTTTGGCCCATTTTGAGCCGATTTTTCAGTCATGCGACCGTTTTGGGGATCGACCCGAGCAGCACGGCAGTGCAGCGTGTCATCTGGACACAAGCGATGGAGGCACAACTTGTAGAACTTTGGGAAGCTCATCTGAGCCTTTTCGATGTCACCTCACAAAATTATCACAACTACAACAACCGTGAAAAGAGTTGGATGGACAATACTGCTCAATCACAGCTGCCTGATCAATGTTTTTCATTAGCAATTTAGGAAAGTTGATGGTGGTGTGTGTGTGTGTGTGTCTGTGTAAGAGGAAGACAGAGGGAGAGCCAGAGACGGATTTTGTGTTATCATCTTCATATTATGGACGCACAGTGTGAGCACTCAGGTCGCATCAGAGCATCGGGTCGTATAGTGTGAGACCCTGCATCGTGACCTACGAACTTCTAACCCCTGCGAGTCAGTCGTACAGTTTGAGCAGGAGCTGAATAACATGACTGAAAAAATTGCACAGTGTATGCCCAGCTTTAATTGTCCTGCTAGGGCTCTTTCCATATTGCACTTAGCACTTCTCCTCCACTCAGCTGAACTTCAGTTGTGTATTTATATACCACTAATACATGTCATTAACTTTTGACTACTCTCTCTTGTAGTTGGTGTTTTCGTCCTGTTTGTTGTTTCTCTATGCTCTGGGTACCAGCTGTCCCTCTCTAAATCACATTCTGCCAAAAGTTTCTTCCTTCCTGCCCCCGCAAAGCTTTTGTTCATAAGGGATGTTGCAATCAATGGGGTTCTACTGTTGTGAGCTAGCGCTATATAAATACATTTTAATTTTTTTTTTTTCTTAAAACTCCAATTCAAACAACATAAATCTTACTATTATTAAACAGACTACAATTATCTAATAATAGTAAGATTAAGTAAGCTCTGCCTCTGCGTTGAAGTACAGTAAATGTAACTTCTGTGTTAAATTTAGACCCAGTAAAAGTCATACACCGAAATGGCTGCAGTATCAGTCTCACATCCCTCCAGTGTAACAGCTGAGGCTGAGAAACGATAACCCCCCCTTCAATTGGTTAGCAGATGTAAACCAATCTTGTCCAGGGATGAGGAAACAATGCTCATGAATGACAACTAAAAATAGCTGCCATTTCCTAGAACTCAGTCTGGGGTGCAGCCGTAATTGCCAAACTTTCTTTAGCACACTTTATTCCAGAGTGCAAGCGTACTGCAGCCTGTAACTAATAACTCACCATTTCCTTTTTTATTTTTTTTTTTTTTGATATATTGCATGAAACATTTGGCATGTGATGTTTACATTCCCAGTATGTTGCAATTTATTTCTCTCTTTTTTCTTCTTCTTCTTTTTTTTTTTGGCTGACATAAAAGGAACAGTTTAAAAAAAACAACAACTAGAAAATAGCCAGTCTTTGGTAACAATCAGCTTTGTAAAACTTACTGGCTTCCCTTATGAGTCATTACTCATAGAAGTTTCACATGAAAAGCATAATTCATGTGTTTGCGCCAAGAAATGTTATAACATGCTAAAGCAGGGCATCTCTATTACTGTTGTACCATTAGAAAAATAGTTGTGGCTATCATTCAGTCTGATAATTACTTGTCTTTAGCTTTGTTTTGGCTTTTGCATAGTCTGCATATATCTTGACCAGGGAGTGAAGGATGGGCATGTTGCAGGTTTTAGGTGAATAGAATTTGTTTTTGGGTTGTTGTTTTTTTTTTGTTTCTTTGTTTTTGTTTGTTTTTTAACAGCACTATCCATTTGATTAATCATTAAAAAACCAAAATGGTGAGTCAAAAGAAGCTGGAAAGCATCACAGACATGCTTTTCACAGACAGATCACTTGGTAGTGTAAAACAATTGATTAGTGCAGCTGTCAGCCTTTCAGAAAAAGGTGCCACCATTTGGTGTACATCTAACATGCATAGTGATCCCAAGACTGGCCACTATTTGTTTGCCTTATCTTTTGCCGCTGGTTATGCTTTCATTTTTGTTTCATCTTGCTGATTAACTTGAGATTTTACTGGATTTATGTTATACTTGTCTGTTTTTTCCTCAGTGCCTGAAGCAGTATGTGGAACTCCTGATTAAAGATGGCCTTGAAACTGCAATTAGCTGTCCGGACTCTGCCTGTCCTAAAAGAGGACACTTGCAAGAAAATGAGGTGCGTTTCCATTATTAGAACGTCTTAGTTCTGCGTTGGACATCGGACCACTCAGTCACTCGTTTTCCATTTAGCAGTAGTCATTTTTTAAATTTCTACGCAGGCGTAGCACTGTATGTGAAAATGTAGCAGAGTTAATGCACTTTGTGCAACTATTGAGTATATCGGTTAAACCTGTATTTCTAAAACATCATTGTCAATTTAAAGCACCATCCTTAACTGAGACGTGCGTTTCACTTCACTTTCATGTGTGTATTCAATTACAATGAGCAATCCTGCATGCCTTTTTCCATAGCAGATGTCATATTGAGACAACTGCTCCTTCTTCAGGCAGTTTACCATAGGACGCAGCATAGTTTAGCACACAGCAGCATTCAGTTTCTAATTAGCGTCCCTGGCCCTTAATAGAACCAAAGCCACTTTAGCTGGTCAGGCACAGCATGCATCATCCCTTTCCATTCTTGTAATTCTCAAAGCCTGAATGTTTTTCAATGTCCATTAAATGAGTAACCATGTGTGGGCCCACGTACGCACCTTGGCTGCACTTGGCAATCAATTTCTATTTTACTGTGGGGATGAGATTTAAGGCCCAAACAAATGGCAAGTTCAGGTTTTGTGGAATTTTGATTATGACATTGTTCTGGAAATGAAATTCGTGGGAAGAATTTATAATTGCTTCTTGCAGCTTCTGTCTACAAATGTCAACACTGACCTGCTCATTTCACTCCCACTTCTCTTCTCCTCACTTCCTGCAGATTGAGTGCATGGTGGCCACAGAGATGATGCAGAGATACAAGAAACTTCAGTTTGAAAGGGGTGAGTCAGTACAAGGCAGATTCAGTACGTCAGTGATCACTTCAGAGTTCACCAGTAGGCGCAGTATGGGCGATGACTATCGAACGGAGTCACATGGACCCGTCTGTCCTGCAGAGATACTACACACAAAAGGATGACAGTCTCATTTTGCACGTGGAGCTCAACTGTTGCTTGCTCTATCTAGACTTAATCATTTTACCCCTGTGGACATTTTCGCTATTGAGTTACACCAGGGGGTGTCTGTGGAAAACTGCTAGAATAGATTTGGCAAATCCTTCTTAGCCCCATAAATTTCACTCTTCAACACTGACAGGTGTTTTCAAGTTTTCTTTGCATACATTTTGTGACGTACAAAATGAAGAACAATTGGATTTCATCCTGGATTCAATTAAATTGAATTTCACTACAAATAGTCATTCAGTTAAGTAATATTCCTGTACTTTGTTTTGATATATTATAATTACATTGGTTTGGTTCTATAGTCAAGTGCTAGACTGTATGCAAAACGTGTATAGCCACAGCAATACCATGCATTAGCTGCTTGTGTTTATTTACAGTACTGTGCAAAAGTCTTGAGCCAACACTTGTATCTCAATATTTTACTCCATAATGGGAAATGGATACATTAGTTTATTGAAATGTGCAAAAATACATGGAAAAAGCAAAAAGCAATTTTGACAAGCTCCCCAACACCACTGGCTTAAATGCAGCCCCCAAATCAAATGAAGAACCTCAATTGTGTTTCACAGCTGTAGACATTCACTGTTCAGACCTTCAGAAAACCTGGGGAGCTATTGTTAAAGACCTCTTTAAAGATTACATGAAAGTCTGGCTGCTTAGAAGCGAAGTATAAAGAAATGAAAGGTGGCTTAGTAGTGTACAGTAGTGTACAAGAGAGGGCAGTGTACTAAGCTATTAGCTAAGGCTAGCTAGCTTGGTTAGCAGGGGGCATCGATACAAACTGCATGGCTGGATGAAACTAACAGGTAATGTGCATTAAGGGATTGACCCACTTTTGCAGCCAGCCTCAACTGGCCACTGTAGGAACTACAGTTAATTGGCCTCTTTAGCCTTAGGGATTGTCACCACTTGAACCCTTGTATTTTTGTTAAATTGCCATTGTCTCTTTCCCCCGTGTACTTGTACATTTTTAGTGTCAGCAGTTCATTTTCTAATAAATAGCTTGGATCTCAGAGCTGAAAACATGATGGCAGGTCTGTGTCGCTTTGCTTCACACTGTCAGTGTAGACATGCTAATCAGCAATATTTTAGTTCCATCCCTACAAGAGACAGCAGTGACCACGCTGTGCTATCACTCTTTGATGGTACTCACTCTGCAGGTTCTCCGCCTACACAGAGGCACAAACTATACACAGAACATGCAGATCACGCTTGCAGGAATAAATGCATATCCATAAAGACAAACACACATTCATTAACACAGAAGGGACCCTGTAAATTAATAAAAATCCTCAGAAAGAGCTGTTGATTCTGGATAAAAGCAGTGAGCCGTCTCATCAATGTCCCAGTCTAGTCAGGCAGAACAGTTTCTGTAACCGTTCCATATTTCTCAGGCTGAGCCAAAAGTGCAAGTAGAATGTGTGCTCATAGTTCTTGGCAGTGAGGCAAGGGGATATAAGGATGGGATACAAGGGCAAGTGCATCATGCTATGTACTTAGAATTGGCAGAATCTGTGTTTTTACCACTTTTAAAAATATTCGAAAGAATTTTTGGAAGCCATGGAAACAAGTTACCAAATAATAGATGCATTAACACAAGAAATAACATTTTTTTTTTTTTAAACAAAAGAAACCTTTCAGTATATAAGAATAAGAACTTTATTGATCCCAGAGGGAAATTCATGTCTAACATGACTCATCTGCTATTTGTATAAGAATTGAAAATGAAAATAAGTGAAAATGGTTTTGTTTCTCTTCCAGTACTGATGTTTTTTGTTTGTTTGTTTTGTTTTTTGTTGCATAAAGTGCAGAGAGCATGATATCAAATTATAAGAAGTTTGCAGAGAGAAACATTCTTGAATACATGTATCATTATTTCACACGTAACAGGAAATCCCGGGGCATTAAAAAATCACCAAACAGCCAGAGAAGGTTCTAGTCTACCGCGCTACATCTTCAGAAATCTGCATCTGAAACTTATTAAATATTTTGGCTCAAATGAGCTAATAAGAGGGTCTGTGATCATGACCTGGACCTTTTTTGTGTCGTCAGAGGTATTGCTGGACCCGTGCCGAACATGGTGCCCTTCGTCGACCTGCCAGGCGGTGTGCCAGCTAAAGGAAGCGGATTCTCCAGCCCTGCCCCAGCTGGTCCAATGTGCTGTATGTGCCCTAGAGTTCTGCTCGGCCTGCAAGGCCAACTGGCACCCCGGGCAGGCCTGCCAGGAGAACAACCTGCCCATTACGTCCTTCCTACCAGGAGAAAACAGGTGCTGCTTTCTACTTGCATCCACTCACTAACTTTCACACTTTTAACATTTCATGGACCATAATCCAAAAAATACTTACAGGCTATGAGACATGAAATGAACTCTGAAACCTGTCCTTGTTCTTAAGCAGCGTCCTTAATTAAATCCATAATTATTAAGTCATTAGTTATAATACATTTTTAATTTTTGCTCAAATTTTAACAGGCAATCATTTAAACATGAGCACTTCAGTAAAGTAATACTACATTTTGGCATGTGATAGTGCAGCAGGTATAAGGCCTGCTAGAAATACTAGTTTTTTCAATGCTATCTTGCTGTCTTAGCCCATCTGAGTGAAGGTGAGGAAAACCTGGCAGGATTCAGTCAGTGTGTCTTTTTGCTGCCACTTTTTGCTTGAGCATCAGCCAACACTCAAGCACATATTTAGTAGGTAGAGATAAAACAATCTGCTTCAACTAAACTGCAGTAAGGCCGGCTGAAATAGATTAATCATTAATTTTAAGGGTACAGCATCTGTCTCCTAAGGTAGAACAGACTTGCTCAGAGATGCACGCAGCTGACCCATTTCTTTGTCTTATCCTCTTACCCTGGAAATGCCATTAGCTCTGCAGAACCTTCTGCTGTCTGCGCAGGAGCTCAGAGGCCACACTGGAGAAGAGGGTTCATAGTTGTAAAGAGCCTTGGTGTTTGAATTACACTTGTTCACCATAACGATATCATTGAAAGCATCATTTTCTTTGTGTTTGTTTTTTTTTTTTTTTTTGTTCGTTTTGGCCACGCTTATGTTAAACATTAATCTCTCTGCCTGTCACAAGATTATGGTTTCTACAAGTTTTTTTTTCTCTCCAGTCATACAAGTGTTTGTCTTTCATAATGCAGAAGAATTTTCTTTTAACACAGTCGAATTTGCTAAACTTGGGAGAGACAAAAACAAGTCATGTTCTAAATACAGTTCAGTGTTTTCTAGTTTCTAGCTAAAGTGGTGGAGGTGTTGAGACTGTATTGTGTTTCACTCAAACGAACAGTATGACAGATTCATGGAGACCGGCCTGAAAAATCAATGGGCCTGTTTGCTGTCTTCGGATAATTCGCAAAATGACAGAGAGCTGTTCATGCACAGGTTTTTCGGAGTCAGCTGTTTAGAAATAATGGGAGAAATGGATACAGATAACCTGACACCGAGAGAACAGGAGAATGTTAGTCTGGGGTTGAGTTCAAGGCCATTTTAGTGACTGGTGACACCTACATACGTATGTGTTTATTTAGATGAATCTGATTTAGAACTACATAAAATCCTGTTATGCCACATAGTATGAATATTGAATTGAACACACTTAACTTGCGTTTCTTCTCCTCAGCTCTTTTTATAAGAACGAAGAGGATGATGCACCAATCAAGCGCTGTCCTAAATGTAAAGTTTACATTGAGAGGGACGAGGGCTGTGCACAGATGATGTGCAAGAACTGCAAGCATGCCTTCTGCTGGTACTGTCTGGAGTCCTTGGATGTGAGTGGCATCTTTATTTCTCATCTTGTAACGTATTTTCACACTGCTAATCTTGGATATTATTTGACTCCATGGGACAACAATATCTCTAATTATCAGAAAATCGTAGCTTTACATTAAGAGTATTTGCAATTTTCATTATTTTGACTGTTCAAAGCGACAGCCTCAGCTGAACTCGTATAACTTTGGTTATTAATGAGCTGTGGTGCCCTTATATAATCCTAATTGTGTGAGCACACAGGCGACCGTGCTCCGCAGGTCACTTAAAAAGCAATTTTCTCTGAACGTCCACCCGTATCATTCAGATAGCTGATGGTCAAGTCTTTATCTGTATGTGTGTCATGTGCTAGGATGACTTTCTCCTGATCCACTATGACAAAGGGCCCTGTCGAAACAAACTGGGGCACTCCAGGGCGTCCGTTATCTGGCACAGAACACAGGTGAGAACACCCACCTCCCCATCCGCAAGTCACACTCGGCAACCCACCCCTCCCCCTCTGCCTCCCCCTCTCTTAGCCACGCTGCAGCATGTGGCCTCACACGTGCTCCCTGGCTCTGCTTCTGTCTCTCCTTCGGTGCACGCATTCACATACAGTGATGGGCTCGTATTATGGTAACAGCACAAAAGCAAAAGAACTCAACTCAATCCACATGCAGCGACAAGTGTCTAGTGGTCAGTGTCCTGCTGTTTAAGGCTTAAAAAAAAGGTTTACATAACCAAGGTCTCTCTTTACCTGGCGGTAATCCAATAAAGCTACACATTGCATATAAAGGATTAGATTTCCTCATGATACGACATATTGAAGTGCTTAATTCATAGACTGAGCTCCCAAATGCCCTCTCAGTATCACTTATTAGCCAAAAAATCTATTCATAGCTTAGCACATCCCTTTGTCCAGCATATTTGCTATTTTCCCAGTATTAGCATACACATTGGCATCTGTTGCCTAGTAGGGCAGGCTGAGTCATATGATTACAGTTCAGCTGGTGGAGGCCAGCTATAGCTTCAGTGTTCTATGTGTCTCTTTTCTCTGTCTCGCTCTCCTCATTTCACACCCGTTTGCGCTTTCACATATATGCAAGCCTCCCTTTCGCTTCCTTTATAAAGCCAAGGTGTATCAGAGCAAAGCATCTTCTGTTGTAGCCACGTGCCATCGTTCTGAAGCAATGTCACATACTATGCTTCAAAGTGCCACAATGCTCTGTTAATAAGAAGACCCTGTACTTGATACTTTTTGTTTGTTTTTCACTACACAAAGCCTTTTCGCTGAAAAAATAACAGTTAATGCATTAGCCAACACTCAGTTAATGCAGGTTTTTTTTTGTCGTTGTTATTTATTTTAAAAGAACCCTGCATGCAAGCAATCCTGCAAAATATATTTTCCCAAATAAACTGGAGGAAGAAAAAACCCATTGTGCTATTATAAGTCACTGTTGCATGTGACAGCCGATTATGTATTCCATCATGCTGTGTGTGCATTTCCTGGAGTTTGGCTCCCCCATGTGGTGGATTGCTTAATTTGCCTGGCTACCAACAAAACAAAGCTGGATTTTACCAACATGTAACTCTACAGTTCTTAAATCTATAACTGTGTTGGTAACTCCTAAAAACTATCTCCTTAGTAGAACACTTGCATAACTTCCACACAAAATGGTTCTGCTGGAAAACAAGCATCCTTTGTGCCACTTGATTGGAGAAGTACATAATTATGTAACTGAATGTGTGACTTGTATGTGACTTGCTATGTACAGCCTCACTATGTGACAAAATCATGATGTCCTTAGATTTGTATTTTTTTGTGGGAGTAAGAACATTTTACTAAAGGCTTTCTGTCTTTATGTACTGCAGTATAGAACTTATTTTAATGATATAAAATGGCATCTCCACTGTTTGATATCCTTTTTTTCCCTCTTGCCCAATTATGGTAAATGGTAAATGGCCTGTATTT